CGATGCACTATGCGTCGGTGCATTATCGTGGTACAAAAGAGCTGTAGGAACATAAGACCTCATTTTACTAATAGCTTCGTGCAAACGACGCATAACAATTAAATATTAATCACTGATGACAGTTTGGTCGGTCGGAAGGAATGCAGAGTGCACCACACCTCGATAATCGAAGACTTGATTTTTGAACTCCTTTGGCGTAGTTTTTTCCGCTTCGGCTCACCTTTGCCGCGTTAAGCGGACGATTGATCGGCCATGATCCATGACATTCTGGTAATTAGAAAGCATTGTTTCACAGACGTTTACGCGACGTTGTTTTTCAAAAAAAAGGTAGTGATTTTGGAACCAATCGTGCTTTCACTTTTCAGGCGCAAATTATCTTTGAAAATAGTTTTTCCGTTATGCGGACAATGCCAATAAGATCTCTCATTATTAATCGTCGATTGAGCCGAAGGTTCTGGCAGCCAGTGCTCCTTTTTTCGTGTAAAAAAATAATTGTATTATTGTATTATTTTTTTTTTCACATTTATAAATAAATAAAACAATCGTCGATTATCAAGCACCAATTCCTTTATTTTGTTATCGTGTCGATCATCAGTTGGTGTTGATGGCCGTCCTGAACGTGGTTCGTCATCAACAAAAACACCTGTACGCGACAAACAATAATCACCGATAGACTCTTTCAACATTCTGAAAGTTTCGGCATCAGAAATTTAATTTCACTATTTTTTGCTCACAATAGTATATGGCGGTTCGGCCCCTCCTTACTCTCCCTTACTTTTCTCTTTTATCTAGACAATTTCCACACTTGTAGTTCGTGTTCTTTTGTTTTATGGTTTTATGGTGCGTGTGTCTCGTACTTATCTGCATTGATTAGGTACGCTAGCAAAGTTAGCTCACTTAACTAAGTAGTAGACGGCAAAATAGAGTTTCATATGAAAGGGAAATTACATTTAAATTTCGAGCGAACTGTGGTCTGTGGAACTGTGGTCTGTGGAACTGTGGTCTGTGGAACTGTGTGAAGGAAGGGCAGAAGGTCTGATGGGCGTGTTTAATTTTTTAAGGGTTAAAAATGGTTGGTTTATCTCGATTTCCGGCAAAATTACGAGTCTTATAAAAAAGTTTGTGTCATATAAGTTGTAGGTAATGCAAAGATCAACATAACCTCAAAATTTATGTGAAAAATTCAAATATTTCAATATTTTTGTTTTCATTTTGTACAAATTTTTTTTTTTTTTTTAGCTGTGCGCAACACTCTAAACTTGTATATCACATATTGATGGCTGATGGAGTTGGTGTCTGAATATAATGTCCAGAGTTAGGCATAAGGCAACCTTTTAAGTTGACGCACCACAGCAGTATATTTCAAGCCGAGTTCTTTGTTATAGACGGGTCTCTAATGCGCATGCAAGCGATTCCAGAATCAACATCTACGTAGACCGCCAATCAGCAATCAAGGCAGTAACCTCGTATCGCATAGCGGCCAGTAGTGTCTTGGGTAGCAAAGCAGCAGTGGAAAGTGTTGCCAGAAGCATGCAACTTCAATGAATGGGCAATGAAATAACGAACGAGATTGCCAAGAGTGGTGTACGACTAACATCCGAAAACGTGGTAAACATTGAGAAACCCATGCATTGTCTATTCAACGATCTGGACAAAAGCATGGTAAGGAAAATGACAACATCATGGAAAAATCTAACTCGGTGCAGAACTGCAAAAGTCATGTGCAAAGCGGCAGAAATGAAGTACACAAAATTCCTATTGGCACTAGATATAAGAGACTGTAGGAAAATCATGGAAGTACTAACTGATCACTGTCTGGTGGTGAAACACACCCGCAAGATGGGCTGACAGATCGAGTAGACTGCAGGAAACGGCTAAAGAAGTATACCAAAGAAGCATCTGGGATCCACACAGTATGATACACTGGGGAAGGTATCGACAATGAGGGCGCAGGGTCTGTTAAAATTCGCGTCAAGCGCAGGCATTCTGAACGATGACTACTGCTCTTGGACTTWGCAWGTGAACTTCACCTATGAGTGGCTTATTAACTCATAGATGAAGTTCGCTTGCTAAGTCCAATAGGAGTAGTCATCGTCTACTAGATTAACCTAACCGAAACTAATATTTTTTAAAGCATTCTTTATTTTAGCAGTCCACAAACTACAGTTTACTACAAACTTGGTGGCTTGCCAAAATAAACAAACACAAAAGTTYAAAAATAAAAATTGTTCATAAAAATATGCAAAAAAAACGCGTGCAATACTAGTTTTGTGTTTAAAAAAACCGGTTAATATTTTCTTCAAGTATAGTCCACAACAATTTTGWACGCTTGAAATACTTAACAGTTAGCAATCGACTCAATTAATAGCTGTGCTTGTTTCTAATGATTTCTTTCGCTTTTCGATTATTCTGAWTTGGGTCAATATTAAATACATTGTTGTTGTTTTAGTGCATTTTCAACAATTTTGTTTTGTTTCGCTCAATGCCCACGCGATGCGCCAATACACGCGCACACACACACACAAATGCACATAAGCGGAAAGGAACACATTTTCATTAGAAGATATTTAAATTTAGCTGTTGTTGTTGTTGTTATTTGTTATTTGTTTGTAGCTGACTGCAATGAAATCAAATATTTACTTGGCAGCTAAGTTGATGCATCGCAACGCGTAATATAMATATGTACATGTATATATTTGTATGTATGTATGTATTTCTGTTATATTTTGATTTACTTGAATTTGTTGCCTTTGTGCTTTTCACGAATTGTTTTCTATATTTTTTKGTTTTTCTTTGTTTTTGTGACACCTCACAACACGTTCGTTTGTTACGCTCACTTTTCCGCTATTCCCCAAACGCACGCTGCACGAGCGAGTATTCACGCCCGACTACTGGCTGACTGGCGGCTGTTGCTGCTTTTGGCTTGCATTAACAACAAAATCGTATTAGCATTGAGGCATTGAGGCGCTTGAGGCCCGATAACATGCAATGAGTGCTTCAGCATTGCGTCACAAGAGCGCTGAGTATACATATGTATCAACGGCTGCCTCTCGCGCTCTGTCACAGTCGACGATTTTGGGTTAACAACTTTTGGCACGCGATCGACTAATTTGGTTACACGAATACCTTCGCGTTACTTAATACCCTACATGTTGGTCATATGATCGTTTATAAACGAGATATGCCGAAAAGGAAAGTTTCACTAACTGAGACCACCTTTGTCAAGTTTTTTTTTTTTATTCTTTCCACTAACTGAAAGTTATCAACACCTAGTATTCGAAGAAATGAATAATTGGACCACTGTACATTGCCGAATTATTATGCCCATTTGATCCGAAATGCTTGAAACAAAACGATTTGACTTGACGAAGGAAAATACTGTCGCCACGCCAAATTAGGCTACGATATGCCACCCTTCAACCGCATTATCTAGATTTGGCCTCTTCCGACTTCTTTTTAGTCACTAGCCTCAGGAATTTAAGTAACGGAGCTACAGACGACATATYTTTCGGACGTTCTAAAAAAGTTGGAACATCGCTATTACAAGTTTATCGAGTTGAAACGAGACTATGTTCAGAAATAAAACACGACTTTTCCAATATTCGTAAACTTAATAAATATTCGACCGTAATCCAACCAAAGTAATCTTAATTTTTTTTTTTAATTTTCAAATTTTATTAAAATTAAAAAATAAT